TTAACATTTTCATAACTAACCATTTCACCATTTTGCTCTTCCGTGCTCATTTTTCTTTTTTTAATTTCAGCGTGTTCATTTGTGGTTTCAAGTTCTTCCAACGTAACCATTTTCAAGGTGTTTAGGTCCAAATTTAAATTACATGCTTCCATAAAATTCCTGCCCAATACCGCATTATGACTCATTGATTCGTTCGCCACTATAGTTAAATGAAAATACACTTTATTTAAATTTTTGAAAACGTAACATAAAATTTTTCCATGCGTCTTTAGACGACTTTTATTTAAACCGTAGTATGAACTTAATACTGGAAATTTCATTATATTTTCTGGTACAATAGATATTTTAATAAACGAGATTGGGCTTCCCGAATCTATGAGGCATTCTGAATTTAATGGGTCGTTAATAGAATCCTTAAAATAAATTTTAAATAATCTTACATAGTTGTTGCTGCTTCCACCCATATTTTTGACGCTGTTTCCGCCGCCGCTTTTGTTCTGTGGACATTGAGCCACCCAATGCCCCATCACGCCGCATGTAAAACACGTGCCAGGTGCTCTTTTCGGTTTCAGACACTCCTTAGCTAGATGACCTTGTGAGTTACAATGGTGGCAGCGAACATTTCCACTGCGTCTCTCTCCAGCCACCACCGCCCTTTCAACATTGCCCGCTCGAATTGTAGGTAAGGTCTTCTGAGCAAACGAACGCCTCATCTGTGCAATATCGCCGAAACATTGAATACGCGCTTGAGTGCGTAACCCTTCATGCGGTATGCCTTCGATAACTCGATGAAGTAACTCCTCCTGATTTGCTTGATCAATATTGATGTTGTATGATAGCATCAACTTGTCGTTCATGTATGTTGCAAACTTCTCATTAATTTTCCATATACGAGCCTCAAACTCGCGTCTTGCCTCTGCTTTTGAATTTCTTTCGCCAAAGGCAAATATTAGTTGCTCACATAAATCCTCTATTGGATTTGCATGCAACCAAGCACAAGCACTGCCTTTTAGCTTCGCTACGAAAAGCATACGCAAAGAAACACCGTGAACGCCATAAATATTAGCAATATTTTTTATTTGCATAATCCACTTGCGTGCACACGTTTGGCCATTGTATCCCCTCAAGATCTCAGTAGCTAACCTCAATGATATGTCACTGCTATGAACTGATGAAATAGCTTGAACGGAGGCACCCTGTTGTGCGATAGTGTCACTCCATTTTTCACTCATTTTGCTCTCTGTTGTTTTATTGAGAGCCGTTTCTTCGTTTCTTGCTGTCGCCTCGCCTTCGTCTGTTGTCGTCATGTGTTTTCGTTTCGCTTTGTGCTGTTGCCAATCCGTTTGTCGCTTCTTCTGCTGATGTTTTACCGTTACGTACAGTCGTCACAGCTTTTGCACGCTGCTATTTTTTACTGCCGGTTGCTGTTTTGACGCCTCGAACAACATTAGATGCTTCTTGAACTGACTCAATAACTGCTGCAGCTTTCCGATCGTGTCGTCCCTTTCTAATTCCACTGACATCGCTTGACTCGCTGCATTATAAGCTCTTTGCTCTTGTGCCATGCCGATTTCGTCCAGCGCTACCAGTGGAAGCCTTTCATTTGCATCTTCCTTCATCACGTCGGCCAGCAAATTGGGATCTCCACGATTCTCTACCGGTATCGCATTTAATCGTGCAATTACTTCGGCTTTGTTGCCCGTGGATGGCATGTTTAGTATAACCAACCACTTTTTTAGTGTCTACAACGATAATTCGTCAAGTCCATATCAAAATTTTTCAGCCACTTAGTTCGGACCACTTCTGATTTGTAGGAGACCGATATGTCAAGTGTCTATGTAGGTGTGTGTGTGTATGTTTCTAACCAATTCGACACTTTTAATGCTTTCTGCACAGTTTATTTTAATCACGTGCGTTCGGTAAGCCTATGCACACACGACTGACTGTCGATGCGCTTACAAAAGAGATCTTAGCCTAAGAAAATATTTGAGCAGTGTGTACACGCAGGATATTATATTAAGAAGTAATAATTGATAATATGCTAGAGCTACACGGTCTTGTGTGCTACACGATCTTGTTTGCTACAGTATGTACATATTTATATATTTGTGCGTACATGTGTTGTTTGCAAATATGCGCAAACATGTGTATATGTATGTAGGTATTTTAAATAAAGTGGTACAGAATGAAAAGAAAACATATGTATACATATATTTATGTGATATTTAGCATGATTTTATTTCTTAAAAAAGGAGCTGAAATATCTTTAAAAAAAAAAACAAATTAATATAAATTAAAATAGCATAACTTTTTTTAATTTAATAAAAAGGTATTTCTTTTCGCTAATAGTTTTGTTGGCTTCTTTAATTTATATGCAATTACATACTTGTATACGAAGTTACTATTGAACTAATAGCCGAAAAAACAATAGAAAATGCAAGTGCACGTGCACCCGCCGTTTGATGGGCATGGGCCGGCTATTTTCGGCCCGACACGATACGGCCACGAAATGAACCTTTGGAAACACGCACGCGCACGCACGACGATAATATTTCTAAACACGAACATGTTATAACCATTAAACGTAAAAACGAAAAATATATCCATATTAAGCACTTTAAATTTGTATTAAAAAATATGTACTCATCTATATTTGAGCTAAGAAGCCGATCTCGTCGCTTATTTTAGATTTCTCTAGAAGCGAAAAAAACACGTTCACTTGTTTGAAAAGCTGTCAGGGATGTATTGATATTTGCTTTAGCAATTCCAAATTTTTTTTGCTTCCAGTTTTTTAACACACAAATTCCTGGATCAACAGCAGTACATATATAGTTATATATTTCAAAATCTATTGTTGACCTGACCAGAAATTGTTTTTGCATTATTAGTGTGCAATAATTAACAAAAGTAGTGTTGACTACTTTTAAGCCCTGTACCCAAAGCATGAAAGGGTATACTAGTTTTGTGCGAATGTATGTAACAGACAGAAGGAGGCGTCGCAGACCCCCAAAAGAACATATATTATTGATCAGGATGACAAGCCGAGTCGATATAGCCATGTCCGTCCGTCTGTATGAACGCAAGGATCTCATAAAATATAAGAGGTAGAACAACCAAACTTGGTATCCAGATTCTCCTAAAACCCAGATAGTATGACTTTTTTTTTCGATGCACCCGCCACTCCCCCGCATTTCGTGTTTTTTTCCATAACTTCCGTAGTTTTTTGTACTCAAATTTGGCAAATAGCTCCTTATTTATTATGAGTCCGTATGCCAAGTTTCATTATGATATGTCAATTATGAAGAAAGTTATAGCCATAAATAAAATGCTCTGCTTGTAGATCTGCCCACCGCTCTGCCCGCAGCTGTTGTTGTTGTTGCTTTGTCTTATTCCTGTACTGCATAAATACACGCATATAAACACGCATTGACACGAAGATGTAAATGTTTGCTGTTGAAACTGTACTTTGTATGTATGTACATATGTACTGAATATTTATACTCTGTACATGAAATGTACTTAAGTATATTAGGTTTGCGGGTGCTGAAAAATGTAACAGGTAGAAGGAGGCGTGGCAGACCCCACAAAGTATATATATTCTTGATCAGCATGACGAGACGAGTCGATCTGCCCGGGGCTGTTGTTGATGTTGCTGTTTGGTTGACTGCGAAAATGCTTACACAGACACGAATAGATGTGCATAGGCATACATACACTCACACAGGCGCAATTGCTATGTAAATGTGCAATTATAAACCCTTTACGTGAGTTCGAATACCGAGAGAGGGAAAATCGATCAAATTTTTTTTTTATTTTCTTCATTTTTTTATTTTCTATAATTATTGTAAACATATGTACAGAGTATTTCAAAGTCGGGACACCCGACTTTAGCTTTTTTACTTGTTTTTATTTAATTTATTTTATTTAAAAAAAAATTTTTTTTTTAATTTCCTTTTTTGTGGAGAGTACAGGGTATTTTACTGTCGGGCTTGCTCGACTGTAGCGTTCTATCTTGTTTTTATTACTTTAGTTGTTAATATTTGTTCGTTTTATATTCGTGTTTGCTCGTGCGTGTTTCCGATGGTTTGCGTACATTACATATTGCTCTTCACGTTCATCCTTCGCTGTTCGCGCTTCTGACTCTTGGGATGCGGCAAATCGTCCCGTGTCTTAATAGAACATCGAAATGTTTAATATGAGTCAGGAAAACTACATAATAAGAAGATCGCTAGCAATTCATCGCCAATTTTATTTATTTTTTTCTCTGCATCGAAAATAATCAATTAAATGCTTACGCACGTCATTTTCTGCATTCAATTGTGATAATGCACCTCGTTTCAATAGCTTTTGCTTTTTTCACGAGTCTTTTCGATCGAAATGTTTCCTTTCATTTCGACCATCATTGTTGTTTCATAATTTTTTATATTCTTTATTCATATTTCTATAGCTAACTGCGATGGGTTCACCGACAACAAGATATCTGTACGTGTCTTTTCGTCACGTGTTTCCCACTCGCTCCGTTCGTCTCGGCAACTTTTCGTTCCATCGACATATTTCCATAGTGCGTTCTTCATAAGAACTGCACGCATTTGTAGTTTTCACGTATCATAGTTCTTCGTGTTTAGCGGTTCTATTTTAACGAAAGAACTTGCCATTTTTCAGAGCTGACAGCTTTCGACTTTTCACATTTTAGTAATTCACTCTATGCGTAATCTGGGCCCATAACCTATAGCGGAGTCGAGTCTGATTTAATGTCATTTACTAATAATGTTTTAATGTTATTTACAACGTGTAAGGTGGACTGTAAAAAGAATAAGGCAAGTTGTAGACATAGAAAGTTGCCAGATTGCTACTTTGATATAAACATATGTACTTATGTTATGTATAGCCATATTTCAACAATAGCACTACTTAGTTTCATAAAGGTATAATATTTAAAATCCAACTTTAATCCATGTTTAATGAATTGTGCGACACTTTTAACTTTTTATCTCCCTCAGTTACCAGAGCTGGTCAATGTTTTGTCTGAAGACGGACAATTACCACTCCAAATGGCTTTATGCGCTAAAAACTTGGCGATCGCTCAAACTCTTATAAAAAATGGAAATGCCGATGTAAACGCCTATGACGCCAAAGTAAATATTATGTAACAAGTTGACTTCCCAAAAAAATAAAGTTTTGATTTATCAGGGCTCGACATTGCTTATAGATGCTGTAACAAGATCAGATGAATTTGCTGCAAATTTTTTACTAGATCATGGATGTAGTACGGATCTTCTCTCCAGGTTTGAAAAACATAATTCTCATTGTTGTATTAAAAGTTAAACACCAACGTATATTAAACCATTTTAGACCATCAGCTGATACCGCACTTCACATTATCTCCAGCTATACGCGTACTAAGACAAACCATGACACTTTTGAACGCATGCTTAACGTTGGTAAAAAGATCCTGCAACATAAGCCTAATGTCAATATTCAAAATTTAAAAGGACAGACACCATTACACGTTGCGATTATTTCGGAAAACACCGCTATGGTGAATCTATTACTGGACGATCCAAATATAGACATCAACATTCGATCGAAAGACGAGAAGTGTGCCTTAGAATTGAGTTTAAGACAAAGTATGTCATCATCTAATGAGGGGTTGGAGCTGGCAGCAAAACTGCTTAGACTAGGCGCAGAGCCAAACCCTTTAAAGTCGGTAACACGTGACAGTTTATTACAAGTACTCTGTGATGGAGGGAAACCATTTGAGGAAGCCGCCATATTTTTAGCTGATTTTGCCAATTTAAACCATGTAAATGAAAGCGGATTCACTGCGTTGCATATCGGTGCGCAGCATAATCTTGCCAGATTGGTTGCAAAATTACTTTCTTTAGGAGCTGAACCTAATGTCCAACCGATAGCTGCGGGTTTAAAGTCAGCTCTACACATAGCTGTGAAGGCGAATGCTATGGAGGTTATCAAACAGTTTGTTCAGTTTCAAAGCCAAGGAGATCAAAAGCATAAACCTGATTTTAACTGCAAAGATGCAGGTGGTGACTCACTCTTAAGCCTTAGTTTGGCTCTAAATCAAACCCATCTTGTTCCCATACTTATAAACGGTGGTGCTGATATCAATGTAAGAAACGGCCGTGACCTTACATTACTTCAACAGGCCATACTAAACAAAGATAGCGAAATGGCGTTATTTTTATTAGATCAGGGAGCTGACATTAATTCGTTAACAGGTGAATCACATTTATACATAAAATTATTGAAAAACATATGAACTCATAATCAACTGGTCCAAATTAACAGGTCAACAGCAGACCGTTTTGGAGTTGTCTATAAACTGTAACTTGCCAAAAGTGGTGGACGCGTTGTGCAAACGGGGGGTGGCACTTAGTGCTCAGGAAAATGGTAGGGATATGCCATTATGGACAGCTTTGGAACTGGGTTTTGATGATGTTGCGCAAGTGCTCGTACATCACGGTGTCGACACGGACTGCTGGAGCTCAGGGCCCGACGGATGCCTGCAGACGCTTTTGCATCGTGCAATCGACGAAAATAAGGAAACCATTGCAATATTTCTAATACGAAGTCAATGCGATTTAGATTCCCCACGTCAGCCGGGACCGAATGATGAGAATTGTGAGATCGCTAAAGAAAAGGCATCTCCGCTGCATCTCTGCTGTCAGTGGGGCCTGACAAAGGTATTGCAGACATTAATCGACCATGGAGCCAGTGTCAATGCTGTAGACGCAGAAAACAAGACTCCTTTGCACATTGCAATTGAAAACCAACATGAGGAAATCATTGCCATTCTGCTCTGCCATCCCGGCATTGACTTAAAAGTGCGTGATAATACGGGAAACACCCCCTTTGCTTCTGCTTTGGCGATACGCAACCATAAGGCAGCGCAAAGAATACTTGATCGACTCCCAAATGCAGCCGAACAAATGGATCAACGTGGCCGCAACTTTCTTCACATCGCCATTATGAGGGATGACCTTGAGAGTGTTCTATTTCTATTGGCCATACAAGTGGATGTGAACTCACGGGTGCACGATGCTACCCAGTCCACACCATTGCATTTAGCTGCTACTTCGCAAACTGAGATGATAACGCGCAATCTTATTCTAGCTGGTGCACGGATCAACGAGCGAGACGCCGCGCAGAAGATGCCTTTACATATTGCAGTAGAGCGCGGTAACCTATCTGCAGTATCTGCCCTAATTCAAAACAACGCTGATTTCGACGCTACTGATGCCGAAGGGAACAACGCTCTTCATATAGCCGTACGTGGCGGCCAGCTATCAATTGTTAGAGAGTTGCTGACAGAGTCACGCGTAAATGCTGAGGCGTTAAATCTAAAGGGTCGTAATCCTATGCACGAGCTGTGCCGCGTCGTAGAGGATAACAACGGGGCGTCCATATGTGAATTGTTTCTTGAGTGCATGCCGACGTATCCCATTAATGCGCCTGATATGGACGGCAACACACCATTGCTGATATCGTTTATGCGTGGACAGGCGCCGCTTTGCAAAGTCCTTGTTAAGAATGGTGCGTGCTTGGGCACTGAAAACAGGGATGGAATAAATATTTTTAATTTTAAATTGGCCACGGATCAGTTGCTACACAAATTGTTGGACCAGTTACCCCAAGAATCGCCGTGGGCTGAATCGGATCTGTGCCAGGAATGTCACATAAAGTTTTCCCTTACTATGCGGAAACATCATTGCAGGCATTGTGGTAGAGTACTGTGCTCAAAATGTTCCAACAACGACGTTCCCATTCTTAAATTTGGTATTAACAAACCTGTAAGAGTTTGCGGTGTCTGTTTTAATGTACTTCATGGCAGTAGCATATGATATCCTCTATGATAAAAGTATTTAAAAAACTCTACGTGTGCATTTCTTTGTAGCAGTCCTAGGATAAGCATCTGGTATTTCCAAGTACATTTATCGATGCAAATATTTCTTTTCGTTAAAAAATATTCATTATTTATTTTATCTAATTAAAATGAATGATTTTTTTATTGTCATACATAATATGTATACATATATTAAGAAATGGAAAATTATAATAAATAAACAAATATAGTTTTGGATTTTTATACCCTGTACCCAAAGGTTAAAAGGGTATACTAGTTTTGTGCGAATGTAAGGAGGCGTGGCAGACCCCACAAAGTATATATATTCTTGATCAGCATGACGAGACGAGTCGATATAGCCATGTCTGTCTGTCTGTCTGTCTGTCCGTCTGTCTGTCTGTCCGACTGTCCGTCCGTATGAACACCTGGATCTCACAGACTATAAGAGATAGAGACACCAAATTTTGCACAAAGATGCCTTATGTGTGTATTCTATACGAGTTTGTTTTATTTTTTTTATTTCCCCCCCCCCCCCCCCCCCCCACTTCCCCCCTATGGAGGTTTTCCCGATTTTCCATTCGTATAATCGCCTATATCTCGGAGACTATAAGACCTAGGAACACCAAGATCCCAGATGCCTTGTGTGAATACGCAGAAAATGTGTATTTTGGAATTTCCCTCCCCCCCCCCCCCCCCCCCCTTCACCACAAATCGCGATTTTTTCTAACTCCCGTAATTCTTGGAATTTGGAACTAAAATTTTGAAAATACCCCGATATAACAAGAAGATATAGCCATAAATATATTTGCTACTGCAGCGCTGCCCGCGGCTGTTGATGCTGGTGCTTTGGTTGACTGCACACATGTTTACACACACACGAATAGCTGCGCATAGGCATACATACACTCAAACAACCGCAATTGCTATGTAAATGTGCAATTATACACCCTTTATGTGAGTTCGAATACCGAGAAAGGTAAAATCGAACAAATTTTTTTTTTTTAATTTTTTTAATTTTCTTAATTTTTTTTATTTTCTATAATTTTTGTAAACATATGTACAGAGTATTTCAAAGTCGGGACCCCCGACTTTAGCTTTTTGTACTTGTTTTTTTCCGATGCACCCGCCACTCCCCCACTATTTGTGTTTTTCCCATAACTCCCGTAATTCTTAGAATTTCCAATTTGGTAATTACATCTAGTTAGTGATTATGTGTCCGTATGTTAGGTTTCATCATGATTGGTCAATTCTGAAGAAAGTTATAAAATCACTGCCCATGCCTGCAGCTGTTGTTGTTGCTGCTGCCTTGGTACAGCCTTGCATTCACACGGAAACGTACATATGTATGTATGTATGTATGTAAGTAGGCACGCATAGAAACAGAATGGATGTAAATCTCTATATATATAATACAGTTTGTCCTGACTGACTGACTGACTGATTGGCAATCAACGCACAGCCCAAACGGTAAGAGCTAGGAAGCTGAAATTTGGACACAAGATCCCTCTTATAGTGAAAGTGAGCACTAAGAAGGGGTTTCGGAAAATTCGAGCCCCAAAGGGGGGAAAACGAGCTCCAACGTTTGTATGAAAAATCTACAATTTTTATCCGATTAACTTCAAACTTAGTTTGTATACTCTCACAAAGAATACAAAAAAATACTGTATACTTGGATTTTCAATATTTTTCCTGGGGCATGAAAAAGGGGGGTTTTCCGTGGAAAAATTGAAACACAATCAACACCCCACAGCCCAAACGGTAAGAGCTAGAAAGCTGAAATTTGGGCTCAAGTATCCTGGTGTATCATGGTGTAGATGCGCACTAAGAAGGGATTTTGGAAAATTCGAGCTCCAAAGGGGGGAAAAGTAGCTCCAAAGTTTGTTTGAAAATTCTGCATTTCTGAATCGATCAACTTTAAATTCGGTTTTTATAATCTATAAAAGAATACAAACAAAACTGCATACTCGGTTCGAAATTTGTGTTGGAGCTTGAATTATTGGGGTTTTAATATTTATTCATTTTTTCAAATGAAAAGTTTGTGTTATAAATTTTGTCAGATCGATTTCAAATTTGGGTAATATAATCTACGTAACTAAAATTACAACTTTGCATTTAACGATTTTTAAAATATGCATTTTACAAATGCAGGCAGAACAAACAATACAAAATATCAAACAGTTGGGGACAACTAAGTATACATACACACACACACATACATACATACAAGCAGCTGTTCGTGTAGTTGCGTGCAAACGGTTGAAGTAGCCAAAGCAAAATGTGAGACACTAATGTGTGAATGTTCATTTGTACACATGTATGTACATACATACATACATACATATGTATAAAAGTACATTCGTCTTGCACTGACAGGGCAAAAAATGTTAATTAATTAAAAATTATTAACATTATAACATAAACATTTTTATGTTATTTTTTCTTTGTTTAGTACATTTGGCATAAGGGGTTTTTAGGACAACGGACTACAAGGGCGTACGATGGTTGGGCAGGGGGGACATTGCTCCCCTTAGAAAGAATTTCGCATTATGAATTACACCAGCACCATATGTATTACATACGTACATACATATGTACATACTTCTGTATGTATAGTATGTACATATGTACATCAATAAGTATGTATGTACATACATTCTTATATACATACATATATAGGTTTGTATGTATGCAGTGGGCCATCGAACACTGTTCTTTAATTGTAATAAATAGTGTTCTATGTTTTCAAATCAAAATTTTTAAAACAACAACAACAACAAGTTGTTGTTTGCATACGCAAAATGCCAAAAGTTTACAGTTACCTTACACATACAAATACATTTGTATGTATGTATGTATGTGTACAGTGAACAATCGAATACAGTATTATAATCAATAACTCTCAAACGATGTTTTTCGATGTATTTGTATTCGACATGTATTACGATATATCAACACAAGTATCGATATTTTCGATATATCGCATTTAATTTTATTATTGGGGTTTTAATATTTATTCACTTTTTCAAATGAATAGTTTGTGTTATAAATTTTTTCCGATCGATTTCAAATTTGGGTAATGTAATCAACCTAACTATATGAACAAATTGGCATTCAACGATTAAAATATAGCAATATGTTTTTTACTTGCCATATATCAAATATCAAATAGTTGGGGACATCGCATACACACACTCACACATACATACAACAAGCAACAGTTCGTGTCTATGTGTGCCCATGCATACATACATATGTACATGCATATGCATGTATGCCTGTAAATGTATGTAGCATGTACATACAAAACAACAACAACAACTGCAAGTCATTGGCTCGCTCTTCTTCTTTCGTTGTGACCATTTAATGTTAATTGCAAAGGCAAAACGCCAAAAGTTAACAGTTACCGTCGCTAGGCAACGACTGCGTAAGCGATAGTAAAGCAGAAACCGAATAACGGAGCTACGCATATTCTGCTTCGCATTGCGGGCAGATGTATGTATGTATATGATTTGTTCTTATTGATGTCAATAAATAATTAGATTTTGTTATTTAAATATTCTGCTTATTGCATTCAAACTTCGATATTTTGATGGTATCGGTGGCTTCAACTATCGAAAGTTTTACTCTAGCAAATTGAGATGAGAATTGTCAGTGCTTTTTGATCGTGGCTCATCGCTGCACGGCATTGACACGAGTGCCGTGTTTCATATTCCGAGTTTGTGCGTGACCGTATTGACTCAATATGGCACGAAAATGCTCAAATGTGCATTTAAAATTAGGATATACCCTTATAATTATTCCCCCTTTTTTGCAAATCGTCTATCTTAAAACGTTGCGTTATCTCTATATATAAAACAGTTTGTCCTGACTAATTGGTGATCAACGCACAGCCCAAACGGTAAAAGATGAAATTTGGACTCAAGTATCCTTTCATAGTATCCATCATAGGTAGGAGCACACTAAGAAAGGCTTTTGGAAAATTCTAGCTCCAAAGGGGGGAAAACGAGCTTTAAAAAATATTAGTTATAGTGGTCATGTTCGTTTAACGAAATAGTTTGGCAAGAACAAAAATGTAACGGACTACTGAACAATTTTTTGTCAAGAACAGAAAATGTTCATTTAAATACCTTAAATGCCTTCCTACTGGTAACTTATAAGGTGAAAACATATGGGTAGGTTATGCACACACAAAATGAATACAATTGGAAACATTATATTGAGCCGGGTTAAGACGGGCAATACCTGCTAGTACACAATAAATGTACATGTATAGTATGTAAATCGGCAGCGAATTCGAGCAGCGCATTATATTAGTCATTTTTAACTATCCTGTACGAGCCCTAACCACTAATTGGTACGGCTAGCTTTTTTTCGATAGTGCATTTTCAATTACCTTTTTTTATTTGTGGGTGATGATTGCACAAACATATTTATACTTTTTGAAAGGACTATTGAATTACCTTATATTTCATATCAAAAAATCACGTTTCACATAACAATAATGCAAAAAATCAATTTTAATAAGACAACTTCATAATACACTAAATATTTTTGACCATTATTAATTGGTACGGCAATATTATTTTTATACTCTGTACATAAAATGTACAAGAATATATTAGGTTTGCGGGAGCTGAAAATGTAACAGGCAGAAGGAGGCGTGGCAGACCCTACAAAGTATATATATTCTTGATCAGCATGTATATGTGCAATTATACACCCTTTACGTGAGTTCGAATACCAAAAGAGGTAAAATCGATCAACATTTTTTTTAAATTCTCTTTTTTTAATTTCTATAATTATTGTAAACATATGTACAGAGTATTTCAAAGTCGGGACACCCGACTTTAGTTTTTTTACTTGTTATAAATAAGGCTGTAAAAAAGTGAAATGTGAACATAAATTGTAAAACTAACCTTATAAAAACAAGATAGAACGCTACAGTCGAGCAAGCCCGACAGTAAAATAGCCTGTACTCTCCACAAAAAAGAAAAATTAAAAAAAATTTTTTTTAAATATTAAATTATTAAAA